CAGAAACAAGTTAAGTTCATGAGAGTTTGTGTCTTTACACTTTTGTGGTTAAGAAACCTTTATAATACAAAAACCCCTCTTGAATTCTTCAATAAATAAAATTGCTGGGAAACGGCAGAGATGTACAGCTATATATTTATTTTGTGTTCTTCCAGTTATTGAAAGACCAGAAGGATCCAGGGTCTAATTCTGTTAGTTTTCTCACAGAAGTTATAAAACATAAAATCTCTTTTTAGATAATTTGTGTTTGCTTTTGCGCTAGTAAGAACCTGTTACTTTCCTGATTCCCTTTTTACTTTCAGCCTTGCCTCTTCAGAGACTGTTTACCTGTTTTCACAGAGAAATCAAGTCTGTCCTCTTAAAAATATAAATCTTTTGGTTTCACTTTTATTATCCCCATGAGAAATGGTATATTCAGATCTGGTGCTTGAATGACCCCTATTTAGAAGGGAAACCATCTGTACTCCCATAACATACACTGAAGTTCAGAGCACTCTTCACAAGCACATAAATTTTCAGGCATTTCGTCAAGTCGCACTCTGAAGAGAAGAGGATCCTCAAATATCCTTGCAGGTGCAGTGTGGTAGGATGGGATATTTTGACTTTCTCATGCTGTTATTCTCTGTCCTGATCAAAATCCCTTTTCTTCCTTGGTTCCCCAGGTCCACTCTTAAACTGCGTCCACTCTTTTGTACTTCTGACTATTTCCTGGAGACACTGTGCAGTGTCTGTGCAGACAGACTGTGCAGTCAGTCTGTCCTTCCAGGCTGATGGAGAGGCATCTCACCATGCCCAGCTCCCCTGTTCTCCCTCCCTGTGTGCCGGTCCCCTCACTGGGCTAGGCTCCCTTTTCATCCATCACTTCCCTCTTACTGCTGGATGAGTGTTGTCCCCAGCAGGTGCTTTCCTGTCCATTTATGATAAAAGCAAAGATTGCTTCCCTTGCTGTAGCCTTTAAAGAGGGCCAAGTGCCCTGTGCTGCTCTTAGTGACTAGGGCTAGAAAACAACAAGCTGGATACTCACCAGGTCTGAGAGGAAACCAGCCATTTCCTCTTGAAAACCTGCCTGCTCTGGGAGCTCTTGTCAAGTCTGTCAGGTGGGTGATCAGTTTTCTAAGCTTTGATTATAAGAAGCTGGGATCATAGCACAAAGGTTAAATTTTAACTACTTGGCTTTTAGTGAATTATGGTTTTGCCCTGCACTGGCCAGGGATTTTTCTTGGCGGTTTAATTATTTTAAGGCCCAGATCTGCCAAGCTATTACACCGCAGGTAAATGTTTATCCTTTGTGCCTCTGGAGTGCTCCCACTTATTTGCACTGCCTAAGTGAATGAGTTTTCTTGTTACAGGGACATATTTGGATGCTCAGATAAGCAATGTGATATTGCTCCAGGGTTGCTTTGCCTGATTGACAGAGAGCCTTGGGTGTTCAAGCTTACAACAGACCTGGCAATCTTTTTTTAGAAGAGGTCCATGGAGAACCCTGTACTGTCCCTTCCCGCCCTGGAGAGCAGGAGTGGAGAGTCAGATGATACTATCATCTTTCTTTAGGGGCAGCAGGCTCCTTTTTCACCTGACACACCTCTTGGGCAGCAGATGTTTGCTTCCTGTCCAGCCCACCACAAAAGTTAATCTAGTAGTTGAGCTTTATTGCTTATTTATTTTCATGCTTTACGATTTGCCCATTGCTTGGAATGATTTATCATTTTCCCAAATGCAGAACATGAGCAGGTAGCTTGTGGAAGAGCCTTAGACCTGACAACACTCAGTTCCTGCAGAGAGTCACACTGTTTACTGCACTACCGAGGAGCCTCACTGTTACCATTTATCCCTGGCCGTGGTCTAGTGTGTGCCAGGGCCGAAGTCATTCCCTTCTGGTGTGAGGTTTCATTTTGAATTTTTCATCCTTAAAAATTGATTTTGAATCAACCAAGGCCTGATGAGGTGCAGAGGATGTACATTAACTCTTGCTTCCTTTCAGTTCCTTTATTTTACATATTTACTTTCTTAGAAATGTTTTTACCATACAACGTTCTGTAGTGCATTAGATACAAGGCACTTCACTCTATATTGCCAGTATTTAGCTGTTGAGGCTTAGTTCCAGCGGGGGAAGTGGGAAGGAGGGGTTACAGCCCTGAGGTCGGCAGGAGCTTGGCTCCCGAGCTCCCTGGCAGGATTCAGGAACACGGTGCTGGCCCCTTCCTACCTCACATGACGGGTGCTGTGAGGCCAGCAAGATGTTGTCCCTTGAGCTGTGTCCCTGCTAGCCTGGCGGCAGCGTGATGAGTCACACCTTGACCTTTCTCCTGTCCCAGTAATATTCACTCTCCAAATTCCCTGCCTCGCTATCTCATTGCATGCCAGGACAGTAAAATAACTAAAGCTGTTTTTTTCTTCTTTCCACCTGTTGTATTTTTATCCTCCCTAAAATTCTCATCAGCTCCATGTTGTTTGTAGTGACATATTTCATTCCTTCCCCTCTCAGCACGTCTCCTCAAATATTCTATCTTCTTCTAAAACAGCTCCAAATCCACCTTTCTAGGCAAATACTACTGCAAAAACCCTGTCCTTATTTAGGTTTTCTCTTGCTTCTTACAAAATCTGCCTCCGAGTCTCTAATTGCTTCAACATGGGCCTTCCCCTCAGATACAGATTTTGCTGTAATGGGACGAGCTCAGGCAGACTGTGCTGCTGTCCTCAGTCCCCTCTTGCGGATGCAGATCCCATCTGCCAGGCACAGCTGGGCAGCATCAGGCCAGAGCTCTGTCCACCAGAGTATCCCAGATCTAGCAGGGCCAAATCGCTGTTGCAAGCAAAAACATAACAACAGGATGAGTGTGCAGTGGTTCTTTCACTTCTGTGTGTCCCCAGGCTCCAGTGATGCCCAGTCCTGGCACTCAAGAGCTGAAGTGCTTAGTAGAATTCTCATTGATTTTCCTAAGGAAAAGGAAAGAATGGGTCTTCCCACCGAGGAGATGAACACTGCCAAAAAATGTGCTTATTCCAGACCCAATACATAGCTCCCCTGATGTCCTCAGCATTGAAGGGTTAAATTTTCAAAGCTGCCATGGATTGCACTTGTATAATCCGGGACAGCAAATGGATACATTGCAGATTCACAAGTCCTTGTCTAACTTGTATTCCAAATCCATTCTAGTTTGTGGCAATGTTAATGATTTATAGTGTTTTCCCACTTCCAGGCAATATTTACTGGTAGGGGGGAAGCAGGCAAGAAGTCAAGCAAGCTCAACAAGACCACACTGTAGAAACACAGGGATAAGGATGTGAGTCAGCGTAAAAACTGATGCATCATTTCATGGGAGCCAACAAGGAATGACACTGGATCAGAGAGACAGGCAATGATCTCTCGTAGGAAACCTTCTCAGCTTTTGAGTGTATTTTAGGACTTTCAAAAATTCATCACTAGGAGCCAGTGAGGTTCCTAGCAAAGGCTGTTTTAATAAAGAAAGCCTTAGTTAATCCTTTCTTTTCAAAATACCTTTCACAGTTCTTCTCTTCCCTCCCTTTCCCCACCCCTCTCCTGTCCTGTTTTTTTTTTTTTTTTTTTTTTTAACAGGGAAAAGAATATATGTTAGTTCTTGCTGTGTGCTGTGCAAGCCATGGTCTCCAGCCTTGAATTGCCTCTCTTGGCACTGCTATGAGTATCGTTAGAGGATGATGTAAAGACAAAACAAAAGGAGCCCAGGGGCTGCCAAAGAAACTGCCACTCAACATTCACATCTTTTTTTCAAATTTTATTGCGATGTGCAGCATCTACAGTGGTTTGTTGCTGAGGTCTCATTTCCAGAACAAGACAGATGCAGGATTCCTTGGCCTGGACAATGCACTCCCAGAAACTGGGTTTCTCTCCGTCCCTCACTCTTCAATCCAGGCATGATTCACTGAGGTGTGTCTTTCTAGTCACTGCTTTTTTATTTCTTTTCAACAAATTGCAAAGTGTGACAAAAAAGAGTGTGTCACACTGTAAAGCAATGTAGACAAAAAAGTGAGGCTCCAAATATATGGAGCATTTGAAGAACCAGAGGGACAGCCAACACTCAGCCGTTCAGACTGGGTTCCCCAGGAAAGGCACAAGGTGTTTTGGTCTCATCAGTACCAGCAGGTCCTGAGAACCAACCCCCACAGGAGCTCAGTGTTCCTTGTCTCCCACATTAAATAGGAAATAGCGGGAGATATGTTAAATAGTCATGTTAATGATGAAGGAAAAACTACCCACTGTGGATTAGCCCAGCCATGCTTTCCTGCAGCTCTCTCTTGCTCAGCAATCCCGTGGCTGCGCCTGCTTTCAGGGCTGGCAGGGCCCTGCTGAACTGAATGGAAGAATCTCAAAAATCTGGACAAGGCACCTGGTTACCAAGCAAGAGGCCTGGCTAGAAGTAGCAGGTTGTGCTTGGACGCTTCTCTGTCACAGTGTCTCCTTTGTGCGTCTCCTTTCTAATAGGTCTTTATACCTCCTTTACCCCATTTTCTTCAGATGTAGCAATGACTTCCATGAGATGAATGGCACCAACTTGATAAGACCACGCTGCAACTCGTAGAAATCTGATCACAAGCAGCCCAAGAAATTCCTGTTTGCCCCAATACCACGTGCTTGCCCACAGGTTTAGTTGGGAGAGGGGGAAATACTGCATAGTGGTCACGTCTGCTGACAGGCACAGTACTTGTCGTCGTCTTCTTGATAACAACAGCAGGTCCTGTGTTTTCTATCTAAACAGCTGCTAAGTTGCAGGGCCCGGTAAACATCTTGTTTCTTTGTACACTGTGTATCTTTTTATTTCTGCAAGGAATTTCACGTGGCTCAAATTTCAGAAGTTGAAGAGTGATCCCAAGCTCATTCTGTGCCCTGCACAACAGTCAATATTTTGTAATACATATCTTTGCCGTGTGTGGGCCAACAGAATCTTTTTTGCATAATGAGGCTTCTAGGCCCTGTCTTAAGGAAAGAGAGGTGTAAGAGTCCAAGAGCAAAGAGTTCCTTATTAAAGTCTTGTGGCGACTGTCACCGAGCTGTCGTTTTGCCATAGGGCTGACGGGCTCCTCTTCCCGCGGTAGTTCAGGCGGTTGAAGTCCTCCATGATCTGCAGCATGGTCTTGCCTTTGGTCTCTGGCATCACCAAGTAGACAAAGACAGCCATGGACAGGCAGTATGCAAAGAAAATGATGAAGCAGAAACTACCAAGACCTTCCTACAGGAGAAGAAACAGAAAGAAAAAAAATGTTTCATATAAATTGTATAGTGTTTCTTTCTCTTTCTGTGCTATGGAGTTCCTGGTTTTGTATTTACTGAAAAATCTGGCCAGAGACTCAACTGATGTAAATCCTGCTTGCTACCACCTGGCGAATGGCACTCAGTGTTAAGCTGGACTAATTCTCCTTTCCTGTAGTAGCTGCAGGAAAGCTGTGTGCTCAGCAGACACTGTATGTGAGTGCTTAGCTGTTCGGGGACATTCCGAGTTGCATTTCTGTTGCTCTCCCTCTCTGCTCCGTCCTCCTCAGTCAGGGCTGCAATGAGGAAGGGGTGTAGAGTGTTAACCCTGCCCCTCCTTGCACAGTCTCACAACTGTAAGGACTTCAGCTTCCCTTCTGCTTCCTAGCAATGGATGAGGTGCCTGGAAAAGTACAAACTTGTCCATTTTCCACATTAATCCCAAAGGTGATCCAGGGAGGAAAAAGAAGGGAACCCCTTATGAGGCTCAAATGACTTGCGGAGTGTTGGTGCCTGAGTCACCCCTTCCGTGTTTCCCAGTCACTCTCTAACTGTGCAGAGTTAGTGGCATTTTATTTTATTTTATTTTTTTGCTAGACTTTGGCTAGATATCTAGATAGATAGAAAGAAAAAGAAAGGCATCAGAACTGAATGCAATTAATTTCTTTGTTCCTCCCCATACTGAAACAAAACAGCCTGCTTTGCTTACCACAATAAAAGGGAACACAAGTCCAAGAAAGAAGAGTTGGATCCAGTTTGTGGCACCACTTAAAACATAAGCAGCTGGTCTGTATGACTGAATAAATAGTTCTGTGGGCAAAGGGCATATCACCCCAGCTGAAAAAAAAATGGAGAAAAAAAGGAAAATTTAGAAATTTTGAAAGAAACTTCTATATCTGAGTGTTTTATATTTCTATGGAAGCTGATGGTTTTAGCTGTCCCAGAAATGTTTGAGGTGATGCTTGGTTTTGAGGGATGAAGGCAGGTAGGAATGTGTGTGAAATGGAGTTTTAGCTCCTACCACGGTCTGGGGTAGTCTCCGAATAGGAACATTTGCCCCGCACTGACACAGGAGTGTGGATTTGCACTGACTGTGGAACAACTGTGCTTGGGATCTTTCCTAAAAGCTGCTGTGAGGGAGAAAGGGATGTAGGAAATACCTACCTACAATGCCAAAGCTCATGATGAAGGTAAAGATGAGTGCAACAGAGCAGTAGGGTACCCAGGAGAAGGAGTCCTATGGTGGGAAATCACAAGCAAATAAAATCAGAAATTAAAACCTTTTTCATACAGTTTGATTAGAAACAGGATCAGTCTTCAGCATTGCTAAACATTTAAATGCTAAATATGCATCCTTATCACCCATCTCCAAAAACTTCACAAGGAGATTTGATGTCTTCTGGCTTTAGTCTGGGTGTGTGTGGCTGGGAGCGCCCCTCTTAGTATGATGGTTAGAAAAATAAAACTTCTGTTCCAGCTAAAAGGTGATTTGGGGAGGGGGGATTAGAAGTGGTATCAGTCACAGAATAAAACACGAAGATATGGCACTCTGTTCACGTGCACAAGTGGGGTCTTACCTGCAGTGAAAGCGTGACAGTGAGGAGCCCTAACGCCAAGGACATAACCGTGTAGCTTTTCCATAGCAGCGCCTTCCTCCCCGCACGTTCAATTAGGAAACCCTGAAACCAAGAGTGCATGTTGGCAGCCCCGGGACAGGCTGGAAAGATGCTCCCGAGCTGCTCCCGTCATCAGAGGGGTCTCAAGGAGCTGGGGGCAGGGGTAGTGCTGGAGGGGATAGTGGAGTATCCAGAGGGCTGAGCAGGGCCAGGAGCTGCAGGGAGCCTGGGAGGCTCAGGGCAGCGGGAGCACTGCCCGGGTAGAAGGGTCTGAGATGGGCAAGGGATGAGGAGGAGCCCGGGGCGAGAGCGGCCAGCGAGGTGGAAGGGCCTGCGCTCCCCATTGCCATGAACCCTGCAGCCAAGCAGACTGCACAGCAAGGGAGGGGGCCCCCAAGGGGGTCTCGGGCTGTCAATTTGCTGCTTGACTTCAAGGGAAAAGCCCTCCTGTTCTTTCAACTGGATACAGATGCTCATGTTTGCAAAGTGCATGGAGACATTTTTGTGTGAAAAGTGCAAAGTACTGCTGTTATTTTGTTGTGCAAGTTTGATTCCTGAAGCTTGATTGTAAAGATTGAAATGGAACATGCATTACAGCTGAAAGAAGCTCTGCTGAAAAGTCACTTACACAGAGAACAGTGGTGAAGATCTCTGTGATCCCAACTCCCAGGGAGACATAGCGGGTTTGCGCAGGGGGGATTCCAGCCTTTACGAAGACATTGTATGCATAAAAGTAAACCTGGAAAGAACAGAATTGTGTGAAGGTTGCACCCCTGTGGTCATGTTTGCACGGAGCTTTCACAATAGCTTTGCCTTTTGTTGCTAGGAAATAGCTACTCAGACCTTAACAAATGAGAAAGGCTTCTCCTGGTCCCAGTAACTATCCACAGTGTCTTCATGAAGCTCATATGCAGAAGAGCTTTTACTAATGTCTCTTGTCCTTGCTCAGGATAAGAAGCATGCAAAGATAAGACAGCACTCACTAAGCAATAATCTTAAAATCTTCAAAATCCTCCAGTGTTTTGATGGTCTTAATTTTTCCAGGTATAAGTACCTAAAGCATAAGGTGTCAATATGCTAAATTTCTGCCGGTCCTTCTTGACATAATACTGCTGCACTAGTAGGGATTAAAAGGAGTTTTATAAATCTTCAAATCTTTCTGAATTGGCAAAATATATTTGGAATTTGAAATTATAATGCTTTTTGTATAAGCCCATTTTATACAATAACTGTTCCAATATAGACATATATGGATTTTTTTTCCCCAGAAAAAAAGGTATATTAGAGAGTAACTGTGAAAAGCATTCCTGGGATGTTTTAATTCTCTCCAGACCAAGCATTGTAAGCTGAGAAAAAATGCAAAGCTAGAGAATATTTTAAGAAACCAAAAACAGGAAGAGAGTATAGAAACAATCTGTCACTGCACACAGCAAACCAGACTCAGTTTGTGCTGAAATACCAACTAATTTCCATCTCTTGGCATCTTCAAGGAGGCTACACTCCTCTTTACAGAGACAGCAAAACTTGCTTTCTGCCAAGAAGCTGCAAGAGTTTAGAAAGCAGAGAGAAGCTGTGCACCTACCACGTTGACTCCAATTAGCTGCATGCATGAGGAGACGAGGAAGAGGGTGATGAGCTGCCAGCGGACAGCTCTGTCCCGGAAGAGATCACAGACGCTCTTAGCCTTCTCCCCGTTGATGGCTTTTTGCTCTGCCATCATGTCATCTATCTCTGCTGTGTGGTCACCATCTCCCCAGAGCTGCTTCACAGCTGCAGGAGAGATAGAAAAAGAGATGATCTGTAGTCCCAGCACGGCAGCCAGACACCAGTTCGGAGGATGATGTCCTGCCTGGAAGAGGGTTTCTCATTTCAGCTTCAGACTCCTTCCTCGTGTGAACCTCCCCAGAGGGTCAACATAGGCTTCAGTGTAGGCCCTGTTCAGTGTAGACCAGTTCATTCCTATCAATTTTTATCCATAAATCTTAATTGCAGCATTACCAATGGCCAGTAGCAATTTGTGGTGATATGGCATGACCACAAAGAGCATCTCTTTCTTACAGCCAGAATATACTGTATCCAGCCTGCACTGAGGAAGATACGAGCTCTGTGTGGTCATGTGTGCTAGACGATTCTGGCAGAAGACAAGAGAAATACTAGTGCCGAGGGAACATGAGTACTGAAGCAGGAGAGACCTTCTCCTGGGAAAGCTGAAGGTGCTTTCAAGCTGAAAGACCAGGATTCCCCAACTGCACATCTCTTGCTTGTGCAGGGCTTATACAGGGCTTAATTACGCTATTTTCCAGTTTCTGGCAAACGTCTGCTGAAATAAGTGCCATGTGGCCCATTCCTTACCTTTGATACATCCCTCTTTGTCCTTCTTGTCAATGAGCAGGTAGCGGGGGGAGTCTGGGAAGAACGGGAGCGTGAGAAGCTGGATGAGGGCAGGGAGCGCATTGGCTGCCATGAGAACAGGCCAGAGAGCGTCTACTCCGAGGGCTTCTCTGGAACGAGAGCAGCAGGCAGGAGAAGCTGAGAAACTGTGAGCTCTGGGCGCGCCAGAACGTGCAAACAGAGGGGTCCCTCAGCCCTGCCGCGTGGTCTGGCAGCTGCCACCTACGAGTGTCCAGCATTTCTCAGCCCAAGAAATCAAAAATCCCGAAGGGAGGATAAAGCGAGTCGAGTGCTGCTGCTGGCAACACAGCAGTTACACAGGGATTCCACCATGTTCCCCTGTTGCTCAGTGAGGAGTGCAGAGCACTGTAATGGAGCAGCCTAATTGCATCCTCCAGTAACAGCCGAGGGCCCAGCAGAGAACAGCAAGAGTCATGACACACGTGCTAAAGAAAGAACCTGAAGCGGCTGATCTCCCTGCTTCTGATCCAGAACTTCTCCAGTTACAGCGAGGACGGGATCCAGGGGTTAGCGGCTTGCTATCCACTGACCTGAATAGCAGCTGCTGCGTGTGTTGCAACTTTACGTTTGCTGTGACAGGAATGAAATGTCCCTGGGAAAAGAAGGGACTGTGGGGTGGGGGGCTGTGGTGAAGGGCAGGCAGGAGCATGTGCTGAGGGGAAGGAATCCACCATGCGGTTTTGTATTTGCCTGTGTGTCTAATGGATGCGTGTGCTGATTTGTGTGTATTAAAAAAAGGATGAATCCAGCATTCTCCATTTCTTCAAAAAGTAAAAAGTAAAGCTGAGTTCTCAAAAGCTGGTTTTGTTTCAAACCCACCAAATCTTATGAAAAGGTTTTCATCTCTATTTTGTTCTGCCTTTGATGGGAAGCAATATAGGTCTTTGGGATTAAAGGTTTGATGTAATTTCTGTCTCCCACATAGCTAAGCCAAGAATTTAGACTTGGCTGATTCAGCTTGGGTGCCTAGGAGACTCTGCAAACACTTTAAACATGTCTAAAAAAGGTTGCAGAGTTGCATGTACATTGAGATATGCCTGTGTTTAGCCTTACCTGAGACCCAGAGCAAATCCTACAAACTTCCCAATGGCGATGGCAGTGGAAGCTGTTATGGCAATGGCCCCGCGCAGCCTCTGAGGGGAACATTCCCCAACGTACGGGACGTGGATGTTCAGAGCTAAGCCTGCAGTCACTCCAGAAACCATTCTTCCAATGATGAGCATCTCAAAGGATCCACACACCCTGCTGAGTCCCATCAGCACGGAGCTCAGCAGAGCGGGGATGTTGGTGAGCAGCATCGCCTTCTTCCTGTGAGCATAACAGAAGGGCACGGATCGTACGGTGCTTGAGGACTTTGCGCCAGATTTCAGGTTCAGCCACAGTGAAGCAGAGGGGGAATGGGAGTGGGGAAGTCTGCTGTGGACTGAAAAGCTCCTTGGAGCTTTCTATGTCTTCGGTACCCTTGTGTGTACTCCCCTGGAGCTGCTAACTACACTGGAGAGCCAGCTTTGTGAACCGTTGTCTGAAATTCGCTTAAAAATGCACGTGAACTGACAATGATTTCTCTGGACTGTCTTCCCTTTGGAATTTACAAGGGTCAGGGCCTGATTTTTGTTCTGATTTTTGGCAGTCTTCACTACTCTATTTCTTCGTCTTTGACCTGAAACAGCTCTGGGCTGCCGGCACGAGCACTTTACACTGCTTTTGCGGGTGCAGAAAGAACAATATGATGGTTATTCCTACCTTCCGAATCTGACTAAGAAATATCCAGCAAACATGGATCCCAGGAGCCCACCAATGCTGTAGATGGACACAATGAAGGACCACATCAAGGTAATTATTTCTTCACTGGGAGAAGAGCCATATCTTTTCAGCCAAGTCTTGTGGATGAAACTTTTGATGTACTTTGAAAGAAAAACAGAAACCAGTGGACTTAGTTAACATCTTTTCTCAGAATTGCAATCTTTTTCACTTTTCTTCCCTACTCGTCTTGTTTGATACATTTCTATCAACACCTTTACTGAAATCTTAGCCCCAGTGAAATCAAAAGAAATTTTGGCACTTGCATTCCTGGAGTCAATGTTTTAACAACAAAGTGCAGTAGACCACAGCAAATATCAGTACTAAATATCAGTTATGAGTATCAGTATCAGCAAATGAGTGGCAACTTGATTTGCCGTTTATCTGCTGACCCCTGATCTTCAGCTCCATTCCCATGCGTCCATCTCTCTCCTCCACCGTCTGTATCCTGTCTGGTGCCTTGGGTGAAGTGCAGGCCTCTCTCGAGCCACAGGGCAGAACTCCAGTTGACCTCTGCGGGGTTGGGGTTTGCTCCTCAGTGTGGACCATTCTGGGGTCTGTCTGACCTACTGTTCATAGCATCATGGGCTGCTCCTTCTCGACGATGTCTCAGATGCCAAAATGAGCTCACCAGGACCCTTGGCACCAGGTCACCACTGTAATGACAGGCACCTCCAAGGTTGTCCTGCTGTGGTTGTTAGTGCCCTCAGCTCTGGGGCAACAGCCACCCCTGCCCTTTTTTGCCTTCTAGATAGTCACTCAGACCGAGAGAGTGTAGCCAAGGACTTGGTATGAAGGGAATCCTCAGCACGGGAAAGAAGAGAATGTCCTGCCAACAACACAGCACAGCGGTGAGGAAGGGACTGACTTGGCAGATTCTCCCCTTTCCCAATTTTGTGACAATAGGTAGATAGAAGTTAAAAACCAATGAAACACAGAGTGACAAGAGTTAATCTGAGAATGAAGAAAGCACAAAGAGTTAGTACTAAGAGAAGACGCAGGAAACTTTCTGAGTGCATAGAGAGGCAGGAAGACACTGGGAAGACATTGAAATCCATGCTGGGAGCTCTTTTAAGGAGTTGTCCGTGCTTACCTCAGCCGGAGAATTGATAATGGACACCTGTAATCCGTAATGGAAAGTTCCACCAATGCCCAGGACCAGAGCCAGGAGGAAGAGGTTGCAGCTCATTTTCTGGCAGAAATAAACAACAACCAAAGGAGCTAGGGTGGGTATTCAGGCACGTCCCAAACTGTCCGCCTGGTTTTCCTGTGGGAGCTCCTGCAGCTTGAACACCACCACACACCTGCTTCCTCCAGGACTGAGAAGGCAGTGTACAAAGTGCAGCTGCTAAAGCCCAGGACAGAGAGAAATTTGTGGGAAGGAGAGACAAAACTGTCTCAGTGACACATTTGAGTGCTTCTCTCTTTGGCTTTGGGCATCGGAACCTGGGCTATCCCAGGTCACTAGCCTGGGAGCATGGTGCAATGTGCAAGCATCATGTGCAGCTCTCCATCTGTTTATCCTTTCTCCTCCTCGCCCACTTGCTGTCTAGCTTAACTGAGTATTTTGCACTGTGGCTTGGCTGAGATTGGGTAAACATTTGGGGTTTGAAGGGCATT